GGGTGTGTTTGAAGGACTTTTTTGTTGTTTTGGGAAGGAAGTGAGAGGAGGGAGAAGTGGTCATAGCTTTAACAAGTCTGTTAAGACTGTTTCTAAAATAACAGAAAGCTTTTATAATATCACTTTCTCAAGAGCTATTCTTTTTATGTACTTTGATATATTTACAATTTTAATTTTGCAGATGTTTACTGAACTGCTATTATTTGTTAAATTCTAAGATGAGATTTTCTGGGTAGCATCGTAAACCAGATGTAAAAAGAAATATTGTGTAGTAATTAATATTGAAATTATCAAAGTATTTGTTAAGCTCATTAACCACTAAAGATAAGGTGAATCTTATCCTTATTTTAGGGGGGAGTCTATTTTCAGATCCTTTAGCACCACTCATTTAATTACAAACAGTATGCTAATTATAACTACAAATTATTTTTATGTATTAAAACTGCTGGACCCTTTGCTTCTCATACACAATATACTGTTTACTCTCTCAAACTTAGTAAAATAGTTGTATGAGCATGCTATGGTTCAGAGAGAGTTGTCAGGCCAAATTAATGTGGCATGTTTATGTATGTTTTGAAATATTTCAGACATACTAAAAGGCATGAATAATAATAATAATAATAATAATAATAATAATAATAATATCCATTTTCCTAACATCCTGTTTATGACATAAAATGCTACCAGTATAATTGAATCCCCTGTGTACCTTCCCTCAATTGCATAATTCTTCCTCTGCCTGAGATCACAGTTATCTCCTTTTAAATGTAATAAAAACTAAGTTTATGAATTTCGTATAAATGGTAGTATACGCTGATTCTTCTGCAGCTTGCTTTTGTTCAATCAACGTGATATTTTTGAGACTCATCCATAATGAGATATGTAGTTCTAGTCCACTCATTTTTACTGCTTATAATATTCCATTGTATGAGTATGCCATCATTTACTTATCCATTTTCCTGTCAATGGACAGTTAGTTGTTTGCAGTTTTTGCAAATAACAAACCATGCTTATATTAATGTTCTTTTGCAGTTCTCCTTCTGCATATACATGAGAGATTCCCTAGTGTACCTACCTATGAATGAAATTGTTGGATCAGAAGGTATGTATATCTTCAGCTTTACTAAATATTGTCTAATTATCTCCAAAAGTAGCGCCCCTTTCAGTGCTCACCTTCACTGACTAGGTTCTTATTGTTCTGTACCCTTGTCAACACTAGGTATTGTCAGACTTTAATTTATTAGTTTAATAAGTGATATATCTCATTGTTATTTTGAATTTTCCTGATTATTAGAGAGGTTGAATATCTTTTCTTCCATTTACTAGTATTACAGGTATTTTTACCTAATACTTAACACTTATTGTATGTTATGGTTGAAAGTTACATGCAAAGTCGAAAGTAGCATGAAGTAGTTACTACTTGATAGAACTATACCATGCTTTTATCTTTAAACATTGGCAACTTTGCATATTGTTTTTGATGAAATAATTTGGGGTTATTTTCTAATACTACCATCATGCTGCATAATGATGTGTTAGTCAGTGATGGACTGTGTATACAGCAGTGGTCCCATGAAATTATAATGGCTATACATATAGCCTAGGTGTGTAGTAGGCTATACCACCTAGGTGTGTGTAGGTACCTACAATGTTTGCACAATGATGCGATCACTTGATGATGCATTTCTTAGAACGTATCCTGATCGTTAAGTGATGCATACTGTAGATTAGAGAGTGTAGACTTTGGAATTAAATTGATGCTTGAATCTTGGCTCCATTATTTACCAGCTTTATGACCTTGGGCAATTTATGCAGTCTCTCTGGGGCTATTTCCTCATCTATAAAATAAGAATAATACCTCATGGTTTGGTGAAGGAATTAAATGAGATAACATTAACACCAGGCACATAGGACTAGTACATAGTTGTAGGATGAAATGTATATACTCCACTTTAATAATGCAAAATTTGGGTAACACCATGGCGTACAATTAAATCAGTCCAGAAATCTGGCAGCATTCCTAAGACTGAAATGTTGTCTGTTGACAGTTGACTCTAACACAAATGTACTTACATGTGAGGGCCAGTCGGGGAGCCCACTAGCATGGATGATCCAAAGCAGTTGTGTGTCTGCCATGTACCTGTGTTTGGCCACCCTGTATACGTGTGCAAACACCCCTATCTGTGTCACCTCTGTTTATCATCTGTGCCCTGTCATTTTTTTG